TCTATGCTCTGTGGCTCTTCCTGAGCCTTGATCACAAGTTTTTTTTGCTAGCCTCTGTTCACTTGCAATTTTATATTTGCCTGCCTCCATTATCTCTTTGCTTATGTAAAGCTTTTTGAACTTTCAGTCACTTTTCCCATTAATAACTGTGATATGACACATTCCCTAAAATGAAACTTTGTATATAAACATTTCAAATGAAAATGAAAAATTACTCAAGGTTTGAGTAACTGAATATACTGTACAATATCACTAATCTCTTTCTCCCCTTAATGCTAGCTGCAGCTCCACAGGACAACTTCTTCAGCCTGGAAAATTATGTTCTGAAGGAACCAGACATTTCAGTGAGTCTAAATTTAAAGTTAGAAGATTATCACTAAAGCCGATCTATTGGAATTACTTATCTGAGCCAAAGTAATTCAGGTGCAGTGAAACACTTCTAATTTTAAATTTAGGAGCACTGAACAGTGAGGGGGATTCTTTGGAATAACAAGAACTTAGTTGCTACTGCTTTCTCCTTCTCATTCTTTCTGCTTCTCAACTTCATCATATTAAAGTCCATGCTTCCAAATCCCAAATGCTGTTAGATAAAAATTTTGTCCTGATAAAAATGTTAAGAAAAGATATTTACTATTAAATATTATACAGCTCTTAAAAATGGATAAATTATATATTTCTAAAATGCTGTAATAAGTTACACCATGGAATACTATATGTGATGCAAAGATAACTCTTGGGAAAACAGTGTAAGATGATGATAAATCCATCAAATGGCTGGTAAAGTGAGACTTGTAGGAGGTTTCATTAAAGGTGAATTTGAAAAGATTGAAGTAAATAGACTCTGTTGGACTACTCAGGCACACCAGAGGCAGGAGAAATGTAGTCAGATTGTTTTAACATGGGCAGATGTAGGGGCCATGCATTTATTTGTTTCTCAAATATGTTGGTAGAAGATAGGAACCTGTAATTGTGTGCTCATGGTGTTTAATGATTGAATTCTTCACAAGCTCATGGAGACCAGCACTCCCAGTAACATGCACACGAAAATATTCCTTGTCAGTTACCTGCAATTGCAATTGACAGCAAGGGACAAAATACATTTATCACCAGACACTTAAGAGTTATTTTGTATTAAAAAAACCATGAAAATTCTTCATTAATGTATTGTTTAGAAATCTAGGATTAAGGGAAGAAAAAGTAAGGGTTAGGCAGTCTTTGAGAGTTAAGTCTTCTGTATTCCTTTTGAAACACTGCAGAACTGAGGCTTACCATATCACTATCTAAATATACCTCCTCCAGCAATGAAATTCTTAAGGGACAGAAGTTGAATGCCGAGACAAAGAGAAACACAGCTCTAGTATCACAACCTGGAAATTATGATTTTTATCTTTTGTGATAATTGGAGATAACCAAACAAAGCTAAGAGCATGATTGTTAACATCAGCCAGTGTGTTGTAACCTGTGACCTTTCTGTGATGTTGAACCTCAGGGAACCCCAGTTTGGGCTGGCACTTCATTCTCTTCTACAGTGTCCTGCATACAGACAGTCTCAGTAACATAAATCAAAGTTTAATTAGGTAAAATAAAAAGGGTTGATTGTGCAAGTAAGATGCTGAGTTGGTTGCAGGGCTACAGAATTCACAGATCAGATGTGGTGATTCTTTAAACAATTGTATAGTTTTGTACTTTGAGAAGGTTGTCTACTGTCACATTGGGCAGACTCTGGAAATGTGATATTCAGGATTCTTTTCACTTATGGAAAGGAAATACTGATCAGTAGAAATCTTGACTCTTTTAATATAAGTGGACCCAAGGCTAATACAAAAATACATGCATGTACTAAACAAAACCCAGGCCAACTGACCAACCAAAAAAACCCCAATCCACAAAACAAACTAAAAATACATTTTGAGGTGTCTTAAATGAATTAATCCTGTCAGGCTTTAGAGAGCAAAATGCAATGCTTGACAGTGGTGCAAACTTAGCAAAACCTAAAGACATTTACATTTAAAGACACTCTACAGTCAGCCAATTGAAATAGTCTCCTATAAAGATTTGTTCAGGTGTAAAGTCCTTCTCAAGGATTTATCTGTCCTTTGAGCTATTATGTAATTTTTAGCAACACCTCTTTAATGCAGATATAACAGTTAAATTACAAAATTAAGGAGGTTGCTTTTGTGCCTTTCTATATTTCTGAAAAGAGTAACTTCATTGCAAATTCCCTTGTACCAATGTGTTCAAGTTCTAGCTTCAGTGATAGACATACAGGTTAAAACAGTTTCAGACAGCTGGAAACTACATTTACAAAAGTAAGTTAATAATAGTGATAAATTTACTACTGCTTTACTGAAGGGAAAAAATCTTATAAAGAGTGATTGAAAATAATACTCCATGTACTGGCTGTTATTTTATGCTAGCATTCTTACTGTACAGGGTATGGCTAACCTCTGTCAACATGCATTGTCTCAGATTTTGTTCCATAATTAATAAATAAAATTATTAATCATCTCTCAAGCTGCTTTTTAAAATAAAATATGGCACAGCTTTGTAATGAGGGCTGACAATCCATGTGTCATTTGAATATTTTCTAAATGGGTACAGGTCCACATGACACATGGGTAAATATATTTGAAGAAGGCTTCAATTGCAAAAATAGTCAAGGCCATCAAGGTATTCAACACTTAATGTAGAATCCACACTTTTTCATGAATAAAAAAGTGAATAGCTGCATTAAGTACATGTAACCTGTCACAAAATGACTTATGTCTTCCCCTGGGTAATTCCTGCTTATGCACTCTGCTCATTCGATTCTATAATACATTTTTAATAATAAATAACAAATTCAATAATAAATTTGCATGTCAGGTGTAGAACTTAGGAACTTGTCTTTTTCATTTCTCAGTGTTAATGTATTTGAAATCTAGCAGGTAAAACTAGAGAGGAAACAGACATGGAATGAGAAATATAAAAACTAAAATGGATAGAAAGAAATAAAAACCCAAACCTAATAAACAACAAAACCCAAAAAAACCAAAAAAACCGAACCAAACCAACCAACCCAACAATGAAACAAAACAAAAAAACCCAAAACAAACCCAAAATACAAAACCAGAAAACCCTCCATAAAAACAAAAAAAAACCCCAAAAAACAAAAAACCAAAACCCCAAAAATACCCACAGAATTAATTTATGAGAAAAACTGACATAAAAAGGTTTGAATCCCGTAATTGAAACAATTCCCCCTAGTCCCTAGTCACTACATGCCTGAGACTTTAGATTGATTTTGAAAATAAGCGAAAAGTATAGTACTGGTATGGATTAAAAACATTCAGTTGGAAGGTAGTGTCAGTGCAAATAAATTATAGAGAAAATTGGGCAACACCAGGACTTCAGCAGTAATAATAGGACAGCATGAAATACAAAGTTTGAGGCTATGAGGTTATGAGTGCCATGATAATTATGGAAAAAGAAGTCATGTTGGCAGAAAGGAACTGAAGAGCTATCCAGCAAAATGGAATTGTTCATATATATATTTAGGAGGTAAACAAAGAGGAAGAAGAAGTACCATGGAAACTCAGGTACCACATTGCCACAGTGGACAACACACCTATCTAGATCTTAATTGCCTTTAGCCTGGAAATTTTCATTCCTGTCTTTCCAATAGATATTGCCTGTGAAAAAAGTCTAGTTAAAGTGAGATAGACCTTGGTCCACTAATGTATTTAATTATGTGATTTGGGGTTTTATTGTCAAAAATCTTTAGCTATTTACTCAAACAGCCCCTCCTAGTCAGTCTCTGATAAAAACACACTTAAAGTTTGTCCTTGGGTCTTCTTTTGCAAAACCAATCTCCTCTCTCTATCTAGCTTTGAAAGAATTGCCCAGGGCTGGTGTACTGAAACACTTAGAATTTTAAAGAAAGTGAATTCCTCTCATCTTTTCTTGTTTCACCTTATTCTTGAATAATTTACATTTGTGAGCCTTGAGAGACTCTCCTTTTCTTTCAAGTGATGTCATTACAATATTGTCATCTATCGATGCATTGGGCACTCTATGGCTCTCTTCAAACGGAATATGAAATCTGAACCGTAATGAGTTGAGAGGTGAAGTCTTGGTCTGAGGTTTTTTTTTTCCCCAAAGAAGGCTCTACAAACTCCCTTACTTGTGAATGATCCAAAAATTGATGGATATTAATAATGACAGAAGACACTAGGATGGTTCACTCTTTTCCTAGGAAAGGGAAAAAGAAGACCAAAAAACCCTCCAGACCAAATCAACCAAGCCAACAAACAAACAAACCCAAAAAAGGATATACAAATTTGTTTAGGCAACCAAGTTATTACATGAATTGTTGACTGATATCCATTGGCTTAAATAGACATGCATTCAATGTAAATAATAGTTATGACCTTTTCTAACAAAAAAACCCACCTCATAAATATATCAAAAACTCAAAGCCTAAATATGATTTTTAGTTTAAACTTTCCAGAAATTCCAGAGTTTCTGTTAATGATTTATTAACTCTTTCCATTTCATTTCAAAATAGAATATAACAAAGAAAATCAGTAGAATATTGGAAAAAAAATATTTCTTTACTAAGAGGTAAAAAGAGAAAATGATAGAGTGCAAAAGGCTGTAAGATGTACAGAAAGCTTCAGTTCCTTGACTGATCCTCAGCTGTAATAAAGTGTGTATTTTGTCATGTACTTTTATGTATGAAGAGAAAAATGAGTCTTCAGTCAATAAACATGAGTTTCATTAGAAGGGAGGGGTCTCAATTTCAGAATTCTTTGAAGTGAATGCTTTACATTAAATTAAGACTGCCAAATTTAATTTCAGGAAACATTTGGTCTGGCATCAACAAGATTCACTTTCAAAATATATCTGGCACTCAATACCAAAATGTTTTGCCATCTCTGTCAGAACTTAGAGAATCATATCCATTGCTTCAAAAAAAAAAAAAAAAAAAAAAAGACAGAAATCTATCATTTATTCCCTCCCATCCCTGTATAATACACATTGAGAAGACTGGGAGAATCTTCTGGAATGTCAGACGCGTGTGGTAAAATTCTTTCATGCAGATGTGTGATGGGCAGTTGTTCCCAGGTCAAGGATGAGTGGAGTTCTGTATGGAAGAATAGAGAACCTCATTCTACTTCATTTTGAAGGTAAATTTTGCCTATTAATTTTCTCCCCAAGGAAAGGACTAAGTAGCACACCACAGAGGGCAAAAGTTCTTGGTAATATCACTCCTGCAAGAAAAGAAGGATTTTCTACAGGACCAGACTAAAATTTTTATAATCTATAAAAGGTCTGAAACATACCTATGATTTTGTCCTTCATGCTTTTATTAATTAACTTAAGATTCCCTAAGCTCATACAGCCTCTAAATTCTTACATAGGTGCTTCTCTAAAATGCACACAGATACTTCAGCAGTCAGGTCTGTAGGGTCAAAGTCTTTCCTGTACATTTACTCTTGCACACGTGTTCAAGCCTAACAGTCAAGCTCTCATGTAGGTAGTTGCATCTCTTGGACAGACAGGTTATTCTAATCGTTGAGCAGTCATCAGTACTGCTTAGTCCTTTTTACTTTGTAATGAACCCTGACTGTGATTTGAGGCTACTGCTATAAAATTCTCTTTCCTTTTATCAGAAGACCTACATAGGAACTGAGAGAGGTAAAGTCATTATAGAATTCTAAATGAATTTGAGAGATCTTAATAGAAATTGCATAGAAAGAATGATCAAATTAGATTGATAATGACACATTTTTATAGGTTATTAGTACCTGCCTGTAGTATTCTACAGAGAAAATGTTCTGTGCCGAATTCTCTAAAGTTCCACCTAGTTTTATTTGATGAAGAAATAATATGATCTAGAAAGTAGAAGTGGGAAGTAAAACTCTGATTAAGTTTTACTGTATATCACAACAGTGATTTTTCACTATAGTTAACAAAAATATTGAATAAAGGAATATTCACTGTTTTTTTATTTAATAATTTTTTAAAAACTTTTCACAAATGCTTTGACTTTGGATCTCTCACTCACAAATTTCATGCATTTTCACTGTAGACAAGGTACACTTGTATATACAGTATGCAACAACTTCTCATGTTTCTTCAAAATATCATTTCCTAACTTTCTGAAATAAATTTCTGTTTCTATCAAGTGTGCTTCTATACTTATATCATGTCCTGGGTAATTTTCTACTGAGATTTAGTGGGTTTCATATGCTCATGAAGATGCCAAAATTAAAATGTTATGTGAAACTTTAGACAATATGCAAATTTGTCAGATCATGATAAGAAGGCATCAACATTTAGCTATATTGGTTCAGAACCCCTGGAATAATAATTAAAAAAAAAAAGTTGTGTTTATGATCACTATATAGTGGGAAAAAAATATATATATGTGTGTGTGTTTTATAAATTAGAAAGGTCTTTATCACAGCTGCTAGGCTATTAGAAGCATAGAAAAGAATTATCTGAAACACTCTGCGTTTGAAAATCACATTCAACTTATTCAACCATTAGATTGTTGAGTTAAATGACTAGGAAATCATAAGAAAATATGCAGAAACAATTTCATTTTTAATTGAGAGAAAATCAGAGCTCAAAACTGATTGAAGTAAATCATATGAGCTATTTCCATTTAGTAAATGGAAATGAAGAAAAAAAAACAAACAACAAAGCAACAAAATACCCAAGCAAACAAACAGAAATGTAAATCATATTCTGTTTTCATTAGGAGATTTACCTGTATCTGTAGTGGCTCCAGTGACTATTTGAAATGCATGATCTGCAGTGGAAAAAAATAATAGAAACAAAAAAACTAGCCTTGACTATTGCAAATATAGACAGCTTTGTGAATTATAAACATTTCATGATGACTTAGAATGAGGTACCTTTATGTGCATGGAATTATGCTACTCAGACTCTGATTACTAAAACAGACATCTCTATGTCTTCCCAGAAGCCTTATGCATTGATCCTCTCAAGTGAGAATACAGCTAGCCCCATGCTGAGGGACTCTGGTTTAAAATTCAGATGAAAAATGTTTGGGTGTTGAAGAACAGTTAATCTCTTGTGTCATGATTGCCACATGCTGCTTTCCTATAAATAAAGATGATGTCAGGTATTAGATGACTTTTCTTTCTTTTTTTTCCTGTTTGAGAAACAAATAGTGTGCCTGTATTTGGAATAATTTGGAATAAGTTTATGACAATAATGAAATTGTGAGGCCCAGGCATATCTGTGATTCGTTAAATTGGGAATATTAGCTTAAAATACACGCTGTAAAATTTGAGCAAAAGCACTCTTATTGAAAAATGGATATGGTAAATATGTGAATATATGACGATACACCTTAGGGTATGATTCATTACCTTATCAAATAATATTTTAAATAATAGTTTTAGTAAAAGAAAATATTGAAAATCATACACTTTTGAAATTCTTAAATTCATTAGATGCTAAAAGAAGGACAAAATCTTCCAAAATAAAGAAGTTTTAAAACAGAGAGTACAGTAACTAGAGACCGTCATCTGAACAATTTTGTCCTGGCAAAATCTTTGCAAAGTACTGCAATCCTGAATTAAGCTTACTGCTAACTATAAAGCTGTGCAGTGGAGATGGTAATGGGGCATGACATAATGGCCAAAAGCATGGAGAATGAGGTCTTTGACAATAAAGCTTTTGCATCCTCAGAAACTTGATCATATTTGAATTTACTGCCCATAAAGAGAGATTTATTGGGATAGTTCATTCTTTCCATAGCAACCCAAATGTGTAGAGTCATAAAGCAATGCACTAGGTAATGCTGTTTGAAGACTGATGTCAAAACAATTCAATGTTTCAGTATGACAGGACAAGTTTTCATATCTGCTAAATAAGTATGTAGCAGAAGCAAAGTATGTTGGCTATTTGGATCGCTGGGGACCACAGGAAAGTCTGTTATCACGGGCAAATTCTTAGTGGAAAAACTGGGTGGACACTGCAGTATTTTGATTTAATTCTCTATATGATGATGTCTTGATACTCGAATCCTATAAAAAAAAACATTTATTTTTTTATAGCTACTGCCATTTTATCAGAAATGTGAAGCTTTTTTTAAAAAATATTGCAAAAAATAAATCCCAAAAACAAAGAGGGAAAGAAAGGGAAAAAAAAATTCCAGATGTGTTGAAAAATCACTGTGTAGTGCATATGTAGGAATACTCTTGATCTTCAGACTCTGAGAATAAACTTCACTCTTGTGCTCAGAAAATAGCTACCGGGAATACAGCTGTGCTTTCCTGTTGGGACTTGCCTGGAAACACACACAGTTGGAAGAGCTCTCTCTAAGAGACATAAAGAGTTTGTTTAAAATTCCTCATAAATGTGATGTCGCGAAGGACGTGGTATCTTGGCTTTTTAGAGGGAAAAATAAGATAAAAACTATAAAGTGTCCCATCTCTTTTAGAAGTCGGTAACAGTATCTTAATAAAGCAAGCAAATTGTCCAAACAGGCAATATTTTTTCTTTTTGTTAATCATGGTTTATGACAAATTTAGATACTGATGAGATCTCAGAGGCACAGCATAGCCTAAAGACAATCAGATTTGTTATCAGTCTTCATCTACCTAATGAAGGCTTATAGCCCTTTAATACCTGTATAAAATTAAGTGATTCTTTACATCTCGTCTTGTATCAACTCTGTCTAAATGAATAAAGTTTTGACAAGGATTGCTGAGAGCATAAATGTCTGATATTTCGTATGACTGTCATTATCAAAGTAGATGAACCTTCAACTTATCTTAAGGGCAGCAGCTGGCTTTCTGCTTTCCTTGACTTTCTCTCATGTTAGATGAGCAGGATTTATTCACATCTGTGGAAATCCAGCATACGAATGAGAGATATTTCTTGCTGATGGTTAAATCTGCTGAGGAAAACAGAAAAATCAATTGTAAATGCACATCATGTTTGCTCAGGGAAGGCTGCTGTGTGTTGCACCCATGGCATAGAAAATAAATAGCTCTTTAGCCTGGAGATGTTGATCTTGAAATTTTTGAGCAATTTCTCCCTCAGCATGTATTCATTCCCAGTCCCACTCAAGGGCTGGCACCTGTAGCTGTTGCTAAGTGGTGTATCTGCCACATGGTGGAAACATAATATTGATTTTTAGGAAAATCAATTCCCAGTTTTACAAGATCAAAACCAGAAGATAGCAAAAGAGAGACTGGACTTTATTTTATAATGATAATCATTATACTATACAGATTCTTGAAAGAGATGCATGGCTAAGAGACATCATATTGATTTACTGGTAATAAACTCTGCCTGTTATGGTTCTAACTGAGCTGCTTGAATCTCTAGATATAACACTATTGATCACAAGCAGTGAGTATGTTCTTATCTGTAAATAAAGAATTCCATTCTATTTTTCAGGCCTTTCAAATCTGTGAAAATGTAGAAAAGCACAAAAGGATGGCAGATGTCACTGCAACCATTTATTTTAAAGAGAAAAATAAAAATGACTGAGCTTTCTAAAAACTATCAAATCTGGAGATGGATCCTTTGGGAAATATTATTGAAATTAGCCTGATCATTTCTGGTGAATTCCAATCCTTAATACAAAATATATACAAAATTTATTATCTTTCCTTAGTTAGTGAATGATACCCATCTCACTTATTAAATAGTGATTTAGAGTATCACAGAATCACAGAACAACTATGGGTGAAAGGGGTCTCTGGAGATCCTCTAGTCCAACCCTTCTGTCAAGGCAGGGTCACCTGGAGTGGGTGACACAGGAGCACATACAGGTGAATTTTGGACCTCTCCAGAGAGGGACACTCCAAAACCTCCCTGGGCAGCCTTCTCCTGTGCTCTGCCACCCTCAGTATTAAGAAGTCCTTCCTCATGTTGAGGTGGAACCTCATGTGTTTTAGTTTATTCCTACTACTCATCCTGTTGCTGGCATCACTGAAGAGTCTGGCACCACCTTCTTGGCACCTGCCTTTGAGGTATTTATAGATATTGATGAGATTCCTCTCAGTCTTCTCCACAAAAAACAGGTCCAGCTCTTGCAGTCTCTGCTCACAAGAGATGCTCCAGACTCCTCCATCATCTTTGTGGTTCTCTGCTGGACCTTCTTCAGTAGCTCCTTGTCTTTCTTGAACTGTGGAGACCAGAGATGAGCGCAATACTCCAGAGATGTGGTGTCACTAGGACTGAGTAGATGGCAAGGATCACGTCCCTTGACCTGCTGGCCACACCTTTCCCAGAGAAATGAAGAAAGAAAGGCTCTTGCATTTAAAAGAACCTATTTTTGGAGAAAACAATTAATAGGAAATAATAACAACACATATGTTAACCCAACACTATTATACATACTAGAATACATTTGGGATAATAATTTCAGCAAAATATTTATTATACCATTTCAAATATTGCTTGCCATGTTCATAGTGGATAGAAGAAAAGTTACAGCCAGAGTAGCAAGGCAATCTTAAAAATTTAGTCAAGTCAGGCAGTCTGTCCTCTGAAAATACATTTAAACAAGTATATGAAGTAGTCTAATATTTTATTAGCATATTTTAACACAGTTTTATCACATATAGAAACAATCTAAACTGTTTATCCAAGCAATAGACATGCTTACGTACACCTATCTAAGTGCATTTTACTGTGCCTTTGGTACAATATGGAGATTGGCAGCAATAATATTTTAAAAGTGTTATTCCTTTCCTCTTGAATTTCAGCAATATTGTAGCTGACACCATTTTAGAGGCAGAGAATTCTAAGTAGTAGCTTAGAATATATTGAGACTGGGTGAAAGTTCCTATCTTTACTCAAATACTGGAGAGTAAATAATGCCAGGATTACCAGTATATTTTGCTTTTGCTACTCAATTCCAACATGCTTATCCCCAAGCTGATTTAATTTGCAGTTCAAGAAACTTGTAGCAATCCCTGGGAGAATAATGATGCGGGTCAGAGGATTTTGTACAGTCTATGAAAAATTCCCTGGTCTTGTGTCAGATGCATCAAGTATTGCTAAATAACTTTTAAAATATCCAGTCCTAATTTATGTTACTCACAAGTTTGATGACCTTTTTATGAAGACACAGATAAAATTTATAAAGGCAGATCAGGTAACAGTTTTTGAATTTGTTTTCTACTTTGGCTTACTGAAACTAAGCACGGAATCATAGAATCATTTAAGATGGAAAACAGCTTTAATGTGATTGAGTCCAACTGTTAGCCTGGCACCTTCAAGTTCACTACAAAACCATGTACCTGTTAGCCTGGCACCTTCAAGTTCACTACAAAACCATGTACCTGAGTGGCTTATGTACATATCTTTTAAATAACTTTTACATAACTTTTAAATCACCAGGGATGGTGACTCAATCACTGTATGTTGGGATCTCACCACCTATGTATGATTTTGGGGAGTGGCAATAGGCGATGCTCAAGTTCAGAAGCCACAAACAATGTTTGCAGTATGGTGATTGTTTCTATGAGAATCTTCCTAAAAAGGCAAGAAATATGAAAGAAAAGTGCATTGAAGATGAACTAATAGCATCTAAGTTCATTCTCCATGCAGGAGTACAGTTCACACATGTAGCTGTCATTGGGAAACTGCACAGGTCTCGCTGCAGAGAGCTTCACCTGAAGCAGAGAAAATAAAGCAGAGTGCAAATATCTTTAGTGATAATTTCTTTCCCATAGTTTTAGACTGCCCAGAACAGCTGGGACTGTGACATCCAGCTGCATCATGAGAATATAAATGGGTCTTGCTGTTTATGTAAATGTGTGCCTTTGAAAACATTAACAGTCCGTGACAAAGTATTAAGCAACTGAGTGAACATGTAAATCTAGCAGAAAGGCTTCAATACCTTTGTTACCCTTTAATACAGGTCTTCTGACAAATATCATTGCCTTGTGACATCAGCAGAAATGCACCAATTTCATTCCCATTAATTTGTCACAGAGGGAAATGTGACAATTCCTGCCCCAAGACTTGTAAAAATGTATTAGTCCGTATTTCCAAGTCACATGGTTAATTTGCCTTCAGCATCAAACTAATTTTTGCTGCTCAGTTTACCTGTACGGGAACTAATACTAAGCTAGAACACAGACCTCATGTTTTAGACTCTCACAGTAAATATTTTTTTTTTTTCTGTGCATTTACAAGTGTCTCTCTGAAGCACCATTCTTGGAGGTAAGCAATTAATAATTCCCAAGAAAGATGGGCTTAGCACAACTCTTGCCAAACCTGAAAGAGGCCTTCTTTTGGCTCATGGACAAAGTTTTTCTTCACAAACTATGAAATAAATCCACTATTGGCATAGGATGCAAGGGAGATGCAATTCCATCAAGTGGTACTTAATTCATCTGGCAGCAAAGGTACTTTTCTACAGAATACCTATTAAAATTGTACCTGCAGAATGAGGCTTTTCCTTGACAAACAGTGTAAATAACTTATCTATTAGTTTATTAATCTGGAATGGCTTCACACAGCAGAAAAATAAGAAACATTTAGTAATTACAATAACTTGAGGGCTTGATCCAACTACAGATGCAAGTAATTAAAGACAGGGGACTTGAAAGCTGTGGTTAAGGACCTGTTTTTGCAGTTCATATGTAGTGGTATTCCACTAAATGGGAATTTTCCTGACTATTGGAAACTCAGCATCTGTATTGCTAAATCCCTGATGCAGTCCCTTGTGCAGTTTATTGCCGAATATCACCCGCTCAAACTATTTCTAGCAATACTTGGTGACTCAGTGTGGAGATGGGACCATTCCCTATTTGCAGCACAGTCACTGTGATCTGGAGAATATAGTATGGAGGCTGGACTCAAACTCAGAGAGGTTCTCTCAGTCATGTTTAATGCTGTAACTCAGAAACCAGACTCCAGAAACCTGTTGCCCAAGCTCGGGGGGAACAGCATCTAAAACAGCCGTACAGAGATATCCAAAGTATAAAGCTGAGAGGGCAGAAGTTCAAAATGTCTCCCTTTTATAGTTTTGATGTTATATGATTCTTAAGTATCATCATGTGTTTTGGTGCTAAAGCCCAGAACCACTGACAGAATATCTGAACATACCGAACCAAAATTCCTACTTCAACATTTCTGTTTTTCCTTTAAAAGAGCTGAAAAAAGTGTATGCTTTCCTATTTGATCAAATACCATAGGAGAAATAACAAAGAGTATTCTGGAAGAAAGTCTATTTTCTACCTATTCAACAAAACCTTACCCTTGTGTATCTCTAGGATCTATATTAAGTTATGGTAGAAAGAAATATTGCTGCACAATGCTATTGGAGAAATTAGCATGCAAAACTAAAAAGAAAGATTACAAAAGGGTGTGTGACTAAATGATGAATGTAAAATTGATTCCAAGAATGTGGATTAAAGCTTTAGATACCTTTTTTATTCTCCAGCTATTGCCAGAAAACAAGATTAAAACACTCTTAATTACAAAATAAGGCCTACAATAAAATAAAAAAAAATAAAAGCAAATATATTAATTAGGTTCTGTTGGACTGACACAAATATCTTCTTAAATAATCTGTAATGTGCCAGTGTATTCTTAAATGTTCCAGTCTAATTCATGTCCTGTTACTTGCTTACACCTTGCTTATATATTTGTTGGTTTTGTACAGTGCCTAGTGCAAAGTTATCTGGAAACATAAAACAGGGCTATTAAATGCTGGATGGTGATGATAATGCTAATGATAAAAGTATCATTTGATTAATTATATCAGTCTTTATTTGCATGAAACAGGCTTACATTTCCTTCTGCATTTTAATAATACAGTAATGGTTATTGTAATGAACTCATTAAATCTGAGAGTCAATATTAATGGACTATGAGAAGGATCTTTATGAACTTCATTGGCAGCCTACAAATAGTGGATTCATATAAAATACAGAATGAGTCAATTGGTTGTATAGTTATGAGTAATCAATTTATATTACTAAAAGCAAACATTTTAAAATACTGGGCTGAATCCTTGTTAGATGTAAATCAATAAAGGGAGGTCAATCTAAACCAGATACAGTTTTGGAACAGCGTTTTAGCAAAGGAAATGTTGTTTGTATTGACAAAAATATTGTCAATACTAAATCATCAGGCAGGCCCCAGAATATGATGATACTGCATTGATATAATGTGATTTTAATGGATATCTGTATATTTTAATCAATTATTACTGTGCATCTATATAATAATTTCATGCAATTTTATTTCCTATGTGCATGTTTGCATATACTTTAAAGAAAAATTTCAATTCAGGTACCATTTTCAAACTTTTCTCTAGGCTACAAGAGTTAAGCACATCCTTTTCTATTTTAAATTACAAGAGAGTTAATTTTGTTGTGCAATTGCTTGTGCTTAATAGCCATTTCAACAAAAATATAAAAGCTGTATTAAAACTGGAAAAGCTGACAATGTGGCAGTAATTCAGTTATGAAAATCCAAACAAAAAAATAAAATTGCTAATGCCCATGAAAAGACTGTCATTCAAAATAAAGGTTTTGTTAAAATGAGGAGTGTCATAATTTCCCATAAAGTGGTTTTAATCCATTTTTGTTATGCCCTTAGCTAGGATGTCCAGGTGTTGCACAGTGAGAGTCCTTCTATAACACAGATGGCCAATAGGGCACCGAATTTCAACATTCTTAATGCTGACAAAATATTTATTTCCTGGATTACATTTTTATTAGTGCTCTGATTTGTGCTCTACTGCTGTGCTCAGAGACATGGCAGGGCAATGTGACAGCCAGGTCCCCAAGCAAGAGACAGTGAGCCACGTAAGTAGGGGTTCAGTTTCTCTGTGCTCCCTGAGTTTGCGATACCTTGCACCTTTGGTGGACAAGAAACTTGACATGATCCAGCAACCTGCACTTTCAGCCCAAAAGTCCGACCACATCCTGGGCTGCATCCAGAGCAGCATGGCCAGCAGGGTGAGGGAGGGGATTCTGCCCCTCTGCTCTGCTCTGGTGAGATCCCACCTGGAATGCTGCATCCAGCTCTGGGGTGTCCAGCACAAGAAACAGATGGACCTTCCAGGGCAGGAGCAGGTGAAACCACAAAGATGACAGGAGGCTTTGGAGCACCTCTCCTGTAAAGACAGGCTGAGAAGGCTGGAGTTGTTCAGTCTGGGGAAGAGAAGGCTTAGGGCAGACCCTATAGAACCTTTCCAGTACCTGAAAGGGGGCCACAAGAGAGATGGGGAGGAATTTTGACAAAGACTCATAAAGATAGATCAAGGGGGAATAGCTTTAAAATAAAACAGGGTAGATTAATACTAGCTATCAGGAAGAAATTCTTTCCTATGAGGGTAGTGAAACACTGGCACAGGTTGCCCAGACGGGTTGTGTTTGCCCTATGCCTGAATGTGTTTAAGGCCAGGTTGGATGGGGCTTTGAGCAACATGATCCAATGTGTGGCAGCCTTGCCCATAACAGGGGTTTGGAACTAGGTGATTTTTCATGTCTCTTCCAATCCAAACCATTCTATTTACCTATAACACACCCTCCACTTGAAACTTCACCAGCAACTGTGGCATTGTTGTTGACTTTCTCTTCACTGAAGTTTTTCATATCTGATAAGTAGTACACCCTTGTAGAACCTTTGCTTTAGACTTCTCTTTCTGGCTAAAAAAAAAGATAAAAACAAATAGTATGCAAAATGAAATTTACACAGTTAATATTTTCTCTTTTTCCATTTTTTATTACTCTGTGCTATTATGAAATACATCTCTGAAAGTTCTGAAAAAAACCCCAGTTCTTTGTTTTGGCTTTCTTAATAAAAATTTGGAATAATGCAACCCTTTCCTCCCCTCAACCCCCTTGACCCTTGTCCTGGTTTTGGCTGGGGTGAAAACATGAGAACCCTGAGGTCAATAAGGACTATATGTAAGAATTTCTGATCCTCAGTCAGAGTCAGAAGTTCAAAGTGTTTAAATACAAAATTTTGACGTGAGCAAGAAAAAGAAAGTACTAAAATGATCTTGGGATGTGCTATAATGAGTGAATCTCCTTAGACTTCATGAATGTCTCTCTCAATACCTCCTCACTCATAGGGTTTCACCTTGTTGAATGTATTTTTAACAGGAAAACACTAGTTCAAAATGTGCACACATATCTCAGCAGCCACAATGAGTCCCTGCTTGGAGGCAAGAAATGAGCAAACAAACAAAAGGAATGTTTTCAACCTACTCACACAGTTCTGTCTCTGGAGCATTGCATGTTTTTGTAATGTAGCTCAAGTAGAGAATGGAATCTGAAGAAAAGGAAAAAACAAATAAACCCACAATATTTTCTGACCTCAGGGACAATCTTTTATCTTGACAGTGTTCTTCCCTTTCACTTTTTTCCTGGACATTTGACCGAAATGACCAGGTCTATGAATCTTAATAATAAGACCCATTCTTATTTCATGAGCAGAAGAAACTTTGGTAGCTGACATCTCATGGCTTTTTAAGCCATCCCAAAATCTGTGAAAATCTATAAAATTCCTATAAAAATAAAAACAATAACCTATTTCCTTTCACAAAGTTTTGTGGTCTTTGGTTTGTTTTTGGTTTTTTGGGGGAATATTTTCTTCGAGGTTTCTTTTGTGTTGGTTTTTTTTTTTTTCCATTCTGTTTGGTGGTTTGTCATTCTGGTTTATTTTTTTTATTCTTTTATTTGTGAATATTTCACAAGGCACAAAATGTACATGTTTGGAAAGATTATATTGGAAGGTTTAATATCTACCAGCTACTATGAAAAACCATGCTGATGCCAGCAAGTAAGATTATTTCTTTACTGTGAGTAAAGGGCTTTGTTCCTCATTATTTGCGTAGCAAGGACCCAGTAAATTGATAAATTGTCCAGAGATCCACTTGCAGCAGGCATAAATTAAAGATTCAAGCTAAAGAAACTGCAATGTCTCATGCTAGGAGTGTTCATGTTTAGTTTGAAGCATGGCACTGTGAAGGGGCTGGACATGCCTAGATTTCAGCATGATATGCCTTTGAAATTTTGCTGCCTTGTGCATGCAGCCTGGTTTGACCGTGTGTGATGGACACAGCTGTGAAATTTAACATCTGGAACTGCTGATTTCTACTTGCAAATAGATTTAAACTTACTGCAGGTTAATGTGGTGCTCCACCTTCCTGTGGTCATGCAGTAGCTCCAGTTGCTGCCCTGTAGTATCTTTGTTTCTTTCTGTCTTCTCAGAGACCTTGTTTGTGGACTGGTGTGGACAGGGTGGGATACACAAACCCCAGCGTTGATAACTTTGATTGAGAACCTCTGCAAAAGGACAAGGAATTTTCTGAAGGACTGAATTAATTAGTGGTGGGTGCTCCTGAGCACGGCCTTATGAGCACTCCTGGGGCCTGGAGTGTATCACGCTCCTAGGAGATGGCTGAGCTGAGGAATTTAGCTGATTGAAACTCAAGTGACCTTCATTGCTGGCAAGAACTGCTGTGAAGAAGCTAAAAACAAGGTTCTACACCACTTTTTTCATGGAAGCCATACCACCAGCTCCCACCTGGGCTACACTGAAGCAGCATTGCAGCTACACCTGTGTTTGGGTTTGTGCCTCCTCTATCTGTGCCTGGTGCTGTGTGATGCCTGGGCTGTTTCTGACTCCCATCACCATCTCAAGCCCTGATCCTAACCTGGACTTGCCACTCCTAATGGTCAGGTCACTGCTCTTACCTTATCCCCCCTGATCTCAGCTCCTTTTCTTGGAGGCCCCTGCTGCTCCCTGAAAGCTAAGATCTGATCTGATGATCAGTGAGAGAAAATCAAGTTTTTTGATCAACGCTTCAAGAACTTTGAATTCAGCCTGACTATAGAAGTCTGTGGAAGTCTCTAGCGCTACTGGACCATGCACATCCCCAAACTGGATGTTCAGTTCTTAACAGACTATGTGGCAGCTCCAAACAGGACACATTATTATGATTTAAGTATTGCATTCACAGCTTTCACCTGTTAATCAGCTTGGATATTTCACTGTAGGATATGTTTTCCTTTTATACACATAGAATGCCAGCTATTTAAATGTTATATTTCGCTATTACTCTCTAACACTGTGGGGCTGTGTTATTCCCTCCTGTAGAAAAAGCTATTAAAAATCAAGAAGTTACATGACTTTGTCTTACCCTAGCTTTCTGGCCTTTTCCCAAATGAATCTTTCTTTTCTGATTTTGTTTTTCTTTTTATTCTGTTTCATGCTATCTTGATGCTACATCTAATCCTTAATTCATATTTGCAATTCCTTCTCTCAATGGGTATGGGGCAATATACAATGGAGTTTTGCTATCTTAAATGAGCTAAGAACTTATTCTCTGTTGCTGGTACTCTGTTTTTTCTTGAATTTTTTTTTCTTTTCTCATTTTGTTCTTCAGAATATGTGTGCACATACATGTAAGGCCATTACTGTATTGTGCTGAAAAATTATCCAGCATAATTCAGACATAATAATAGGTGGTTATATGACACTGCATTTTCCAGCATGCTTTAGTTAGGATGCATCAAAAAAAGAATTTGATATATGATGGCTAATGAATCATGCCCTGCCACCCTTTACAACTCTTTTCATCTACTATCTTTCTGTTTTCTTTGCTCCCTGTCTTTCCAGACCTCTGGTGTTGAATGTTAATGATGAAATTTTTGGTTCTACTCTGTGCAATTATTCTCAAAAAATTAAGCCTCACATAGTGTATACTTTAAACATGATGTATTCACACAAATGAATAATAATGATATACAAAGGAGCGCAAATTCTGATTAGTGAATTTTTCATGAACTGGTCAAGAAAGAATAGCAATTCATTGAAAGTAGCTTGTGGAAGAGACAAAGTTTCCTTTTTCTGAAAATAATTTATTGCTCCCAAAATGGAGCAAATAAAAATAAATCCCAAAAAAAAAATATCCCAAAAAAATAAAAAATGGTTAGAAAACTCTAAGCAGGGAATATTGCAGAAAAAAAAAATCCCCAAATTAGCACTTGTACAACGCTGTAATTTTAAAATTATTTTTTAATAATTTAAAAAAGTTTTCCTAAGCAATGCAGCATGAAGAAATGATAGTCGGTGATAATCCTGTTTAGGCAGAAGTGACAGAGCCATTTGATTTCATGAGCAGTAAACAGGACATACGACATCAGTAAAAATAACAGTAACCAACAGGCAGTTTCAGCAATAAAACTAGATTAACATAATGGGGAAAGAACATCAGAAGAATGTGTGGAGATTTTTTACTTTATTTCCTCTGGTGAATATCATGGAGTCAGCTGATGTAAGTTAAAAAAAAACAGACACACTATGAAACACCTGAGAAGAGAATTTTGAGTCAAAGTTTTCATTACTGTGATCAAACAAGTTGAGATGATTTAGAGACTATGTTTCACTTTAAATGATAAAAAGAATATTTTCCTGCCTAGAATATTGCTATTCCATTCTCTACTATGGATTTTCTGTTGCTTTGTAATAAATCTTTACATACTCCAAGACCTTCTGTCTTGCAAGATGTTTCTCTTTAAGAAATTTCTAAATTTTTTATGCTCTTCATTACTTATACTTTACATGTAAATTTTAGAAACTATTTGCTGCCCCAGACAGGTGGAACATACCACCAGCTCTATACTGTCACTGTTGCTAGACTGTAAATTTTACTAGCTGTACCACTTAGTCCATCTAGGATCACAGTTTGCTCGTGTCCTCTGCTGACACAGCTACCCAGGGGACATAAACATAAGGCACTGTGTTAAGTGTATGATATGTTTCAGATATGAAAGCAGTGAGTAAAAAAAAATAAATTCTGAACTTCTCTTCATCAACTGAGTAGAAAAAAAGAGGACCATGAAGGCCTATATTTTGCATTATTAAATCAGCCTAAAATTCAGGGTATGAATAATTGTGGGAGTTTTGTCTAACTTCTATAGCTCCATTCTGATTCAGGCAAAATGACAGTAAAGGACAAAAAAAGTGTACCATACTGCAGAAGAAATGCAAGAGAAGGGTGGAACAGATGGAACAAGATGACTTTGTTGGTGCATAATAGGGTTGTCAAATATTTGAATAGAGATTAGGGTCTAATTTTGATTTTACTCTTTTTTTTTTTCTTTTTTCTTTTTTTAATAGGCATTGTAGGAGCTGTGGCAGTAACAGAGGGCTTCTTATCAAACTCATCATTCTTACCCCACAGTAACACAATAAGAGAACTTACTCCATTACTTTGTTAAATTCATCATCTTTAACAGGAAGCAATAGCAATGGTAAATTTTTCTGATGATCTAAGAGCTCAGTGGATCATATCAATAAATACTGAAAAATTAAAAATATAAACAGGCTGGAATCTAGTAATAGACTATATAATACACAGTGTACCTGGAAGTCTCATGCCTTGTGGTACATCACTGACTTCTTTTAAAGGAAAGTATCTCCCATTAAACATGAAGAACAGAAGAAAAATATTAAGTTCCTCTCTCCATCGTCTTTCAATTCAAGCCCTAAAAAAAGAAGTACATTTGAATCATAGACGTCTCCTCCACACTTGTGAAATGAAGTATTGTTCCCCTAGGTGGAGAGAGAACAATCCTTTACTGCTCAAAATTAACTACCTCATCATACTTGAGGTTTATGGGTCTGTCACAGGGTTTTATAAATGAACACTCCTGACTGCTGACCAACAGAAATCATGGATGAGGAAGCTCAGTTGGTGCTGAAAACATTTGGTTCTGAGAGCTGGGCAGCCATTCAAGATTCCTATGCTCATCTCTATACCAGTGTGTGAATATATAGGTCTAATGAACAGATGAACGATTTAGAAGGAAAGTTAAGATCCCAAAAAGGCCTTCACGTCTCATTGCAACTAAATTTTTCCCATAGTTTTGTCTATGCTTTCCCAGTGCAGTATCTTTGTTATATCTCACTATTGCTTGTGAAATTAACCTCCATATCCTGTGTGTTGAATTGGACAGCCCCCTCCGCTTCCTTGGCTTAATGATTACATAAGGCACCTGAGCTAAAAGGCAATGACAGAATATGTCATTGTTACTGGAGCATACAAAAAGAAAGAGGTCTTGAGGAAATAGCAATGTGTGTAAAGTTGGTCATACTGGGCATGGCAAAGACAGGAAGTGTAGAGGTGACACAGTGATCTAAGTTTAAGGATCAGCAGTTTTCAAAAAGAGCTCTTTCTCTGAGAAATAACCATTTGACACTTCCCACTCAAAGAATGGTCTGAAATTTCCTTTCCTACAGATTAAATGAGAAACCTTTTGGTAATACTCTCTGAGGACATAACACTTTGCTAAAGCCACTACGTAGTCAAAGCAGCAGCTGCTCAAGGATAGCCTGAAATGGATCTGAACTAGTGAACTAAGTTAACATTTTCAAAAGCATGTATGTATATGACCTGGCTTCTTAGTAAGGTCTTCAAATCTGGCTCAGAAAGGTGAGGTGCTTAAATATGCAGATACCGGCTATATTTTCCTCTCCTTAGAAATGTCAGTGTACTTAACTTTTATTGATTTCAGAGACATTAATTTCATCAAGTGGACTAGCAAGACACTTTCAGAAAATCCAACCAAGCATCTACATGAAACTTAAAGTCCTTAAATACCTTTGTAAATCTGACCCTTTTGTACTGAGAATTACTTAGAACCACAGTGAAGGGCAGTGGGATTTGGTCTCTGAATTACTGTGACTTGGACAAGCAGGTGCTTTTGAAAGTCCTCAGACATGGGAATGAATTTGTTGCTTTATACTGTCCTGTGATTTTTTTTCCTTCAGTCCATTGACATGAGCAAATAAAATATACAGGCATGTGGTTTACAGTAGGATAACAGTAGGATAGCAGTGAAGCAGGGCATACACACTGTAGGAAAATGGTAGAAGAAATGAAGGTTGTGATTGATATTCATCCTGGCTAAATCTGAATAGAGAACAGGACAGTGAAGGTGAATGTATTTGGAAAGAGATATAAAAATTAAACTAGCAACAAAGACTAAGCTTTTTTGTTGTTTTGTTTTGTTGAGGTTTTTTTTTGAAGAATACATTTTTTATGAGATATGAAATCCCCAGTAGTTCTGAGAAATGACTGGTTGTTATTCCTGTTGGATACTAATGAACTAGCACCATGAGATCTTTAATACAAATTGGGGGAAAAATGTGTTTTTCCAAGTGCTACAATTCATTGAAACAATTAAGGACTGATTTCATGAGTCTCAAACCTCCTAATACACAGATGACCCCTGGGAGGAGCAGAAACTTCAGTCACTCAAAACCATCTTAACAAAGCAACAAGGGATTGCAGTCTTCACGGTCCACAAGGATCCAAGAAAGCAAGGAGTCTGCAGCCATTTATCTATGTATGAAAGAGCTTATTTTTACAGTTTCCAGGCACTAGCTGAAACAATTTTTTTCATTCTCCTTACTGGTTCTGAATTATGACTATACAGAATGAGAATTTCCTTTCATTAAATCCAATGCATTTGTCTTATACAGAATATATTATTAATTGTTCTAGTGTGTTTTATAGAGAATGTTTTCTCATAGCCATTATTTATACCATTTTGCCATGTGAATGTCAAATCAATTTTGTTACCAACATAAGACTGAAGTAGAGATGGCATGTATATACCTCTTCCTGTTAGTTTTATTTGGATTAGTAAGGACATTTTCTCCTTCTCATACTGAGAATAAATTTCACATTCAAATGAAAAGCTTAAACTTTGCTCACCTTATCATCAGAACCGATTTGTGGTTCTATACTCTTTCCTTAAGTTATGTCTCAGTAATTGATATATTCAAGTGTGTTTGAAAAGTATTTATAAATTTAAGAATTTAGGTTGGTAATCAGCTAATTTGATACATATTAATATCTGGGTTAGCACACACACAGGGAAGGTAAGAAAATATTTGCTTTAGAAAATCTTATAGGTTGTACAGAGAATTACATCTGCTTCCTTGTAGCCCTGCATATCTCTGTATGTTTCTGTAATGATACACCTCTCTCCAGAGATGGTCTCTCCTTTTGTGCTTAACAGTAACCGCCAACACAAGTAGAGTAACAACCATCTCCCATCTAGGCTTCTTTGACATGCAAATTTGGATGGAGAATCATCTACATTTTTTCAAAGTCCACCACAGGATCTACAAAATTTGAATTTGATTAGAACTACAAATCCTTTAATCTCAAGTGATATGTTCAAGAGAGAGGTATTTCTTGCCTAGTTGTGTGACGGCTGTGGTACAACGTTGTGCCCACATAATATTAATATATTTTATTTTAGAGAAAATATAAAATATTCTCCAGAAAGAGGAATCAGAACAAGTTAAGCCTGCTTTCTACATATCTTCCACTGCTATCAAACTATAAGGATGAATTGAAATCACAGAATGAGTCTTAAGTGGACTGATTATGTCCTATCAGTTCCCTGTGTTCTTAATGGAGAGGTAAAAAGATAACATATAAGCAGAATTTCCCATTTCAGACCCAAAAAACCTTAAGCTAACCAAAGACTACACAAAATTTGGGAGTTTACTTGCCTGAATATCAACAGTGAGGATAGTACCATTCCAGAGCAGGAGTCACAGGCTAGCTCAGACTACCTGGTACTGACTTGGGGCAATATATAGATCTGTGTTCTCATGCATACCAGAAATATTCCAATTGCTCATCAGTTCCACTTATGGTACTAGAGCTGTTATGCCAAGTATGTGGTGACAATTCACATTAAAGAACAGTTTTTTAATATATTTGATTAAGAAGAAAAAATATTTAAGAAGTTAATTAGATATATAAAAGAAGAAAACATACTGTGATTTTTTAATCTGTCTGAACAATAATGATTTATTCTAATATCTTGGACCTTTGCTACTACAGCTTTGTATGTTTGGTTTTCTTTGGTGCCAAGGATATCTAAATTACCCTAGTTAAAAAAATACTAGTAAAAAAACATCCTATACTTAACCATCTGTGCATCTCAGTTTAGTTATCTAGAAAAATTTAATGCACCCTTTTTAAAAGCCAAAATCCTTCTATATGATATATTACTTGATTATTGAATTTGTCTTTTGAAGTTACAGCAGTAACTGTTCCTGGAACTAAATCAAAATTAAATTGGGGCAAATATTCCAACAGTTTACCTTAAAATGTTAGAGTTTCCTACTCTAGACAGAAACTTCCCAAGTGTAAATTACTACATTTCCCACTCTAGGAAGTTGTTTGCTGCAATAATGGCACAAATAATGACATAGTCAATATACTGCATGGCTTTTAGCAAATGCTGGTATGACATTTATACTAAACCTCACCCAACTTTCCGAGCTATTTTACTCTCAAATGTCTTTAACAATACCTGGAGCCACTTGACTATGTCATAATGCACTTTGTCCCTTCACCATGGACAGCCTCACCCTGGCAATGAGAGATGGAGTTTGTCTCACATAGATGACCCATAATGAAGTTACACCACAGCTTCACAACTCCATAGGCAGCTAAAAGAAAGAACGGGGTCTTACTATATGTCTTTGGCCCAGTTATTGTAGCAACTGGAGAGCAAGTTGATGGTAATTTACTTCTGGCAGACATACACAGCAGATATCTGTCACTTGCACTTTCTCCCCTGACACCCAGAGAGCTGAAACTCCCTCTACCAGCCAGCACAAATAAAAAAAATAAATAGTCATATGGCATTTATTTTTCATATTTACTTGCAAGTTACTGAGAAAAATATAGGATGCACTTACTCCCTGAAGTCCAAGACACTTTATGTCTCAGAAAAAAGCCATGACATGTAACAGAATAAAGACTAGAGAAATATGCACTTCTGTTCATGCTTACAATGGTGCTACCTCATTGAAGCTCTGTCCCTTTTTTTTTTTTAAAGTACTGTTCCTGAATAGAACCAATAATTGTGACATCCCAAATGATAAAAGGAAATTGAAATAAAAAGGTGGAGAACTGCAACAGATGTATAGAACAGAATGTAAAAGCATAGTCTACTGACCGCAAAATTTTTCACCATGTTATTCATATCTATTGAAATGCTCCCTTTCCATTTCACAGACACAATAAAGGGAGAGTCATTAATACACATCTCGACAGAGTTATAAGGAAGCTAAAAGAGATATAATATTATTATGCAGATGGCCCTTGGTCTAGGGGGCTTGAATAAAGTACCATTGTGCATCTAATTAACTCTAAAATGACTGTGCCAATTGCTTTGCTATGTTTGAAACCTTCTGTTCTCATATGTTTTGATGAGTTGTTTATTCATAAAAAATACTTGGATGTTTTGTTGGCCTCAGAGCAGCACTCAGAAAGGTAGTGAAGTTGGCAGAATTAGCTTACACCCACTTGTCAGGCTAGCAGAATGCATTAACAAACTTCAGGAAGTGTTCCCTTAGACCAACATTGATTGAAGGGTAAAGTCTATGACTGTAGCCTGTAAATATTCCCTGGCAGTAATTCAATAGAGCTGGAGCTCACTGTT